TTGGACCACCTCTCCTCATTACACTATCCCTTTGTTCCAACCATGCTGCCAAACACTCTCGTAAACAGCTACGAACATTTCCTTTGTTATCTTCTTTAATAACATTAAGTGTACGAGAGTGCAGTCCTAGACGAAGGCCAAGATCATAATATTCAACACCAGAATATTCATGATCGTCCAGTACATCAAGTACATCAATAAGATTACCGGTATCTAATGAAAAACATGTATGTCATTTAATTTTAGTTTACACTCACCTAATAATCCAGTGGGTTGCATTCTGTGTCTTTTAGCAGGTGGACCTTCTGATGTTTCAGCTCCTAGAAAAGTTCAAAAAAATAGTAGCTTCCGAATAATGAAAGTATTCATATGTAATCTTAAAATATTACTAACCTGGATTGAGTAATTGAAGATTACTAAACCAACATTTGTAGCTATCATCATCACCTTCTAGTACTTTACAGTGTGATCGACATTGAGTACACCTGGTGGAAGATTTATCTTCCTTGACAATACAGTAACATTGTTCGTCCATTGAGCATTTGAATGCAAAAATATGATTATCATTGACATTAAGATCTTTGCTACTTTTTTTGATAGCATCTGTGACTAATTTACAAATTCGAGGACAAAAGTCCTTGCAATCATAAAAACGTATTTCAATATGTGTATAGCAATTGATGATATCTATAGTGTACTCTTTGTAAATACGAAGTGACATAGCATCATTATATCTGTAATAGTCTTTGCCTACTGGACTGAAGTCAACATCTTCTCTCTCTAAAAGGTGTACGATGGTTAAAGGAAATAATCCTTGAGGGATGGCTAGATTTGTTGTCCCACTGTTCTTAATCTCCCATGCTATGAGAAGTGGTTGTATTTCTGCTGGGGCAGGATTGAGCTTATCGTAAGATGGTAATGCACACGGAAAAAAATAATCTCCTTCTTTTCTGTTTTCCACTTTAGCAATGATGTGGAGGTGTTTTAGAAGAGTGATCATATGAGATGGTTGAAAATCTTTATTAAAAATTTCTTTACCAATAATTGTTAAAAAATTTTCTTTAAAGAGGCCAAAATCAATGAGGCTACTTCTTTCACCTGCTGAAGGAGGTGGATCTGCAATCAAATGTAACTTATCATGGTCAACATATGTGATAGCTATTAAATGTGAAAAAATGTCAAGAATTGGTTTAGGATCAACAAATATTACATTTGGTAGAATCTTACAATAATAAAGAATGATAGTAACATCATGTAAATATTGCCAGAGCATCATCAATATCTGATTCATCATCAAGTCGAAAAGACTTACCAATTCCTATTACCT